CTGTATTGTAGTTTCCTCTCTGATTTGGTGGAATGGGACGAGAAGTGTTTTGGTTCTGGTTACTCTGGTTAGTATTTTGTGTTGAAGAATTTTGATTAGTAGAATTGTTGTAATTACCGGGGTGATTATGCTTGTTATTGTAATATCTCTGATTATTTCTTTGGTTCTTATTCCCCCCGTTTTTACGATTGTGCCAGTTTGATTTTGAATAGCTATCCTCTGGATTTGAGTCATAGAGTCCCAATTCCATGGTGGCTTGTTTTAATTTCGGAATAGTGTCTATGTCCTTTCTTGCCAGCGACATATACATTCTGTCCGGAAGCTTTCTATCGATTGTTGTTCTAATGGTAGTCTTTAATATTTCTGAATAATTTGACTTATCAAATATATTCCTAACTTATGTTTGATCAGTGTCACATATGGGCGATGGTCCTTGAAAGATACTGCTAGGGCTGTCCTCATCTCTGTCCATGACGTTGCTCCTGTTTGAATCACTGCTTCCAATGCGTCGTCAACAATAACACTTTGGATTGCTCCATAGATCACATGTGCCTGACGCGCATCTTGGGTTGGATAGAGTGTCAGCAGCTGTTTCACTTGGCCGATAAAGCCGGATAGCTTTCCAGGGGTTCCATCATAGTAATGGAGCTCCTTGATTTGGGCCAACAACTGGTTCAGGTGCACTTCGGAGAGTTGTGGAACTGCCATTTTTATGATTTGTTGGTTTGGTAAGATTTTGATTGATTAGATTGGTGGCTTGCAGAGTTTTATTTCTGACCACACGGGATTTTTTTTTTAGGTTTTCACAGAATTAAATAATTTCTTATTGATATTATTTTTCTGACCGCACGGGATTTTTGTCACTTCGAATCACGTAGATTCTTTTGCGGATCACTTTAACTTTGGAATCACTGTTAAAATTCGCTGGTTTCAGGATGCTAGTTGTATAGCGTATCCTTTCAGTTAAAGCAGTACCGTACTTTAAGGACTCTTTCTGTTTGATGATCCTACCGACTGCGCCAATTAAATGCTTGCATATTCATAATATAATTTTATTTTAACTGAATATTACAAGTAGTTTTACAAAGGTTTGTATTTTAAATGAAGATCACCGATCGAACAATTTCGTGTCTCAAACTGAACTCAACTTATTGATCTGGATTGATTGACGTTCAAGCCTCGGTCTCGAGCTTTCAAATATTGAGTTAAATTTTAAAAGTCCTGAAGAGAATTTGGAGAGAGCTTGGAGTTAGTAATTAATCTTCACTTGGATTCAAGTGCATTCGCTCTTGGATACAAGTGCTCTTTTGATTTTACGATCTTGTTATCGAAATCTAATATTTTTGTTTTCGACTTGGCGAGTCCGAACTTTGAAGGTGGGAACGTGACAATTGGGTGATGGACTTAAGTCATAAATGTTTAGTCTACAAGAGGGACTGTCTGGAGTTTCAGATTGCATCCTTTGTGTGGAGCCTAGGTTTATTCCACTAGCCTTGGCTTTGGGATTCTTATAACCATCCGGTTGCTATCTGGTGCTCTGGTTACTATCTGGTGTGTACTGGGTATATTGGGCAAGTGTGGTTGTGTTACAGGGTATTACAATAATGTGTGTTTGTGTTGTGTGTAAAGAAAGTAGGCGTAAACGAAGTCCGTAGGACTATGGGTATGTCATTATATAAATGTAGCTCTTAATTAACACTTAGATAATATTAATCACAACCAGAGTCGAAGGCCACCGCAGCCAGTGCTCGGTAATTTACTATTAAGTTTAACATTGTATGATAAGCTTAACATGTTAAATAAATAAATAGTTTTTGCCAATGCAAATGTTATTCATATAATTAAAAAAATACAAAGCATGCAAGCGATCCCAACAGCTTTCTTACTTGAACTAATTACGAAACGTCTGTTTGTAACATAATATTTTTAAAAGTACCCAAATACATTCTGTCAAAATGCTAATTTTAGTTATACCGGAAAAGTTTATAGAAACAGATTTGCCTTAAGGCAATAAATCACGTAAATACAGTATTAAGTACTTAAGTTAAAAAATAAATAAAAGATAAAAGGCCATTCATTTTCTGCGTTTATTAATGGGGTATACAGTTAAGAGAAGACTGAGCCTCTGGCTTCTTTTTACACAGGAACCGAGCTAATCCACAGCAGGGCCATAAACAGAATTCAAGGCAACAGCCCTGAGCCAGACACAGTGCTCGAGAGTTTTTGCAGTAATTTAAATTCGCCTCGACATTTTTCAGTGTGTCACAGTGTCAAGGTGTCCGAAAGCCAGCTCTCGAGCCACAGCCCCATCGATTTGCTTGGGGGTGAACTTGTCTCTCCTTTCGCTCCTCTCGTTGAGCAATCAACAGCTCCATTACAGCTATCTCTCGGAGCCTTGCCACCTGTTATGTCTCGAGCAACAGGAGGCCATTCATAAAGGACGTTACTTTGGGGCCAGAGAGTGCCGAAAAGCTCCTCCCTTTGAGGGGCAGCCATGAATTTCTCTCGGCTTGAGTCCTTTTTTCAGGCGCATGCTCGCAGACGGAAGCGTTTAACATTCCATATTAACGGACAGCATGAGAGTGTGTAAAGGCCGAAGCTTTTGATGTGCTTTTCGTTGAAATTGTCTGTTTAACAATCTGAAGATCTTTCTAATAAGGTGTCAAGACTTTACATACAAAATATATGGGTGCTACAGTAAAAAAAAAATGAAGGAATTGGAAAATCACATATTTTATATTGTCGTCACTAATATTTATTTATTTCAGAGTTGCAAAGGCAGTCAATTTGTCGGCACTTGCTCATACGGATGGCCAGATCGACTCGGCTGTTGATGCCGATCACGAATCACCCTGTTACATTCCTATGTACGACAGCATACAATAGAAAACTGATCTCAAAACAGAGATACTTCGTTTTCCTAACTATTAATCATAGAAAATATTTAATATATAATCAGATAAACTTTTAATAATGAATAATAACTTTTATAAAATTTAAGCCTTTATTAAATTACCTTTTGCAGTTCCCTTAATTTAGTTAAAAACCTTCGTTCAAAGAGCATGAGACCTTCTTTGGCAATATTTAATTCTTTTTCTGACTTCACGAAAAAAACACCAACCAGTTTTTCGTTTTAAATATTTATGAAAAATGTAACCGCCGTGTTGGGTGGCTTTCGAGCACATGTGCAGAGAAAAATGTTATTTATATGCGGACGCCTTTCTGCCAGCCAATTTTTGGGACGTTTTTCTGCTGTCTGAATTGCTTGCACGGTGGATAATCCTTTTCTCTGTCATTACGTCGAACTCCTCCGCAGTATCAGACCCCGCAGACAGACACGGAACTGTGGCATATAAGAGGCTCAACATCAATTGCACGCTTAAAGCAATTTGCAGGTTCTCCCCGGGAAAAAGGCAAAGAAATAACAAGGACCAAGTGAACGCCGAGAACGAGTAATAATAATCATAATAATAACTTTTCATAGCGCCATTTGTTGTTGAACGCCCCCTAGCGAACAGAAAAGAGTGGCATTGTTCTCCTCGAGTGCTTCGTTTGTCGACTGCCAACAAAATTTAATTAATTTGACAAAATAAATATGTGTAGGAAGAAAGTGGCATGCAAAAAAAACGTAGCTTTAAGAAAATCTACAAGGTTAATCTGACGATATTGCCTAAATAATTAAAGTATCATTTAAAATTATTTCAAAATTTATTCAAAGCCTGCAGTACCATACATAAACATTTCATCAACGTTTCATCAACAGCCGAAGAGGTGTTGTTGATAATTCATCGATGAATTGCAATACAAACTGTTGATGAATTGTTTATGAAATGTTGATGAAATCTTGATAAATTGTTGATGAATTGTTGATAAAATGTTCATGAATTGTTGATGAATTGTTGTTGAATTGTTGTTGAAATGTTGATGAATTGTTAATGACAGGGGCCTATTGAATTTAACATTGGCACGTCCTAGGTTGTCATCAACAACAATTCAACAACATTTCATCGATGAATTGGTGAAATGATGATGAAATGCTGATGAATTGTTGAAGAAATATTGATAAAATTTTGATGCATTGTTGATGAAATGTTGATGAACTGTCGATGAAATGTTGATGAATCGTTGATGAAATGTTTATGAATTGTTGATGAATTGTTGATAATTTGTCGATAAATTGTTGATGACAGAGGCCTATTGATGACATGTGGTACTGCAGGGAATATACTTATTATTATATTAATAAATTCCATTCCATTCCTTCGATAAATTGAAAACTTTCCCCGCTGTTTTCCTTTTTTTTAAGCACTCCTTCACTTTAGTTTACCCAGCTTGACTTTCGCTTCCGCAATCCTTTCAGGGAGCTGAATGCTCAGGACATCACCAGCAGAATCCTGCTGAGATGCTCCTCCGTCGTGTGGCATTTTTCAGGACAAGGAGCATGTGAGGAATATGCCAATTACACATTTTGTGCATTCTCCTGTTGCCTACTCGCATCGCTGCGTATATTTTTATGTTCTGCTTTTTCTGTGTCAACGCTGTAAAATGTTTTTATGTTTTTTTTTCGCGTTGTCTGCACTAGGTACACGCGCGTGGGTTTTATTTGAGAGTGTGTTTGTTTTTGTGCCTGCAGCGTCATTGCGCATACGAGGGAATGGCTCCGAGCGGCATAAAGGCGGCTAAACTTGGCTAAGTCATCGCAGGCACCTTTAAAAAGGTGAAAGCAGTAAAATTGTTAGAGCTTTTGCAACAGATTGAGGGAGAAATGGATATAAAAATGAAATCGAAATCAAAAGTTATAAATAGTTCACACATAAGTTCCCCTTTGTTCTCTCTGTTCATATCATAAATTCACCTTGATCTAGTTTAGTAAAATATTATTTAGAATTCAGAGAACTTAATTATTCATTATTCTCGGGCACAGCCAATAGGGGCTGATATTGTCTAATAAAAACGGTAGGCTATACTTTAAATTTATTCACTTCACTTGGCAACTCAACATGAAGCGGCTTTACTTCACTGTGCAGATATTGTTTTGGCTGTCATATCTAATGGCTAATGAGTCAAATCCCTATAAAAGGAGCTTTGAACTGGTTAATAAGGAACCCGTCTCAGGATCGTACACAAAACAGGAACTCGCTTCGGTGGAGGAACTCTGGCTGGACCAAAAAGTCGATCACTTTGATGAGAATAACAATAAGACTTGGAAAATGGTAAGATATGTCCATGAAATCAGCTTTTTATTATATTCTTTTTTTTGCAGCGTTATTTGCGCAATGCAAAGTATCATGTTCCCCAAGGACCCATCTATATATTCCTGGGCGGAGAGTGGACCATCAGTGCAGGACTAATGGGAACGGGCTTAACCCACGACATGGCCGTGGAAAATTCAGCAATGCTCTTCTACACTGAACACCGCTACTACGGCTTAAGCTTGCCCCACGGGTGAGTAGACCTTAGCTTAATAAATCAGGATATCCTCGTTTTAAAGTTCTCCCAACTAAAGGGACAAGAGTTTTCAACAGCCGTATCTCAAGCAACTGAGTCTCCATCAATCATTGGCTGACTTGGCCCACTTCATACGCCATCAAAAGTCAAAGAATCCCGAGATGAGAGATTCCAAAGTTATCTTGGTGGGAGGGTCCTATTCAGGCAGCCTGGCGGCTTGGATGACGCAACTGTATCCGGACCTAATAGCTGCCAGTTGGGCTTCCAGTGCTCCGTTACTGGCAAAGGCAGATTTTTACGGTGAGTTTGAATTTTTGATTAATTGACGTACTCAAACCGCCTCTCTTTTAGAATACATGGAGGCGGTCAGTAGCTCTATTCAGCTGAGCTATGGACGAAATTGCAGTCTGCGGATCGAGAAAGGCTTGAAACACTTGGTGAAGTTATTTGAGGATGATGATATCAAAGACCTGCTGGCAAAGTTCAACGCTTGTGAGGACTATAATCCCAGGCATCCCCTGGATCGAGCAGCTTTCTTCAATGGCCTGGGCAATTATTTCGCTTTGTTGGTGCAGAGCTATAGGTGCGCCTGATTGATATTTGTTTGTGTATAAATTTGTTAAAAATTTTACAGCGCTTATATTCCCCGTCTCTGTGAGACCCTAATGTCCCTGGACACTAATGATGAAGTGGCCTTTGTGGCCTTTTTGGAACTGCTCAATTCGGAGGGCAGGCGCACGACTGAATGCCAAGACTTTGGTTACTCTTCCATGCTGCAACTTTTCAGTGAAGCAGCAGATCAAAGTTCTGGAAGTATGCCAGCAAATACAAGTGAACGTTCGTACTTATAATAAATTTGTTTTCAGCTCGTGCCTGGTTTTATCAGACTTGCAATGAATTCGGCTGGTACACCACCACCAAGTCGCCATCCTGTTCGTCCACTGCCTTTGCCAGCCAGGTGCCCTTGTTCTACTTCGAGTCCCTTTGCCGGGATGCGTTCGGGGCGGAGCAGAGTGCCCAGCAGTTGGCCCAGGGCGTCGAGCAGACGAATAGCCAATTCGGCGGGTTCGGCTTCAATCAGAGCGAGCGTTATGCTCAGGTAATCTTCACGCATGGCCACCTGGATCCGTGGCGTGCTCTGGGCCAGCAAACGGGGGACCAGGCCATTGTCCTGGCGGGTAAGTCCTTGTCCCTGTCAAATGATTGAAAGACCCCACTCAGTTTGGTGCCACGTGTCGCAGGCTACTCGCATGTGGAGGATTTGACCAGCATCCGGGTGTTGGACAGCGTGCAGATGAATCTGGCCAAACTGCGTGTGATGTCCTTTCTGCGACGCCACATATGAATCGTCCGGGACCCACTTGAATGAATTATTGAATAAACAATGCGTCGGGTGATGAGAGCCCATTTGAAAATGTCGTGGAAGTAGCTCCTCTGGGTCCCTTGTCCCCCGTTCGTGGGTAAACACTGACAAATGGAGAGATGCTTGGACACTAAGTGATATGTCTGGGCTGTCTGGTTGCGCAAACAAATTTCTTGAAGGCGGCATTCTTGTTGATTAGGAAATTGCACTTGGCCTTTAGCCTGTGCACTTTCTTCCCTTTGTTTATCTTGGCCTGATTGCTTGATTAAGGATTTAAGTGAAAGGACACCTTAGCCGATTCTTAGCATTGAGGTTTGACCTGCAATAAAATGTTATATGAAGCGTAAACACACAAAGTAAACTAGAACTAGACTTGCACTTTTTTAAACAATAATAATTTATGTTGTTTGAAGTCTTTGATTTTACAAATCAGTAACTTAATCAAATCGTTCATCAGCTTTATTGATTTATTTTATGATATATATTGAGTATTAGGTATGTATGTAAGTTTGAAAATAAAACTCGATATAGTATAGGCCCAGCTAAATAGACCTAAAGGCTCTAGCTCTAATTCTTTATTTATCTTACATCTTTCTCGTTGTCCTTCATTCTTTACTCATTAACATACTCGTCGGTCTGCTTAGAAACCATCGTATTTACTCGTCAATACTTCTCGTTGTTTTATTCTCAACCGCATTGTCGTTTTCTTTTGTTTGACTTCAGTTAGCTTCTTGTTTCACACATATGTAGGTTTACTGTTTGGTTCTTTACTTCTCTATACATTTTAATTTAACTTACTTAAGTAAGTTGTTTTCAATTTAGAAAGGAAAAACAATTTACAAAGATAAGTAACAGGCTAAAGCGATTTTAGTGAATAATGCCCGCTGGATTTTATCTCAAGAAGTTTTTCCTGAAAGCTGAATTAAGTCCCCAAGCAAACTTAATTATTTTAAAACATATATTTGAAATACACTTATGCTTTCGAAGCCTCTAAGCCCGAACTATGTTACGATAAGAGTGCGCAATATGGAAATCGTGAATAACTTACCATAAACCCCGTATCTGATTACTTTCCCCCCTCGGAAAAGCTCTCGGCCGCCGCTTTGCCCACTTGAGTGCAACGCCAACGCTTGGCGGACGTCGTCGAATCAGCTTCACCTGCTGGCCTGCGTGGGCGCCCAGGAACGATGCCCGGTTGGCACCACAAACTATTGGATACATTCGCACGGACTGTGGGATTCGTGGGGGTCTAAGGGAAGGCAGAGATGACATTGCGTGGGAGGTTGAAATGGGGCGGGCCGGCTTTTGTAGCTCTCTCTCTCTCATGGGCTCTCTTACACTCACACACACTCACACACCCTAGCTTTATTTACATTTGGTCCAATGTTGTTGTTGCTCAGCAATTTCTCTCTCGTCTTGGGCCATGTTTCATTGCTAAACCACGGCCATGCGGATGCTGTTTGGTCTGTCCGCGCTAATTAATATTTGTTGCTTCATTTATTGCTTAAATTACGAGGAGACTAGCTTTTGCGTGGGTAGCCTTAAGTGGCGAAAGGATTATCGAGCTGTGGCGAGACGCGACTGTTAAATAGATATGCCCTTGGGGCAAACAATTTTTGAAAATATATTGACATCCAAGGTCAACGCAATTCGCCTTATTTTCCTTAAGGTTTTAGTTCAAAACATATGGAAAATTAAAATTATATAATTATAATTATAAACTAATAATATTTTAACTCAAAAATTACTCTTTTTTTTTGTATTTAGACCAAATAAACAACTTTACACAATTTTTAATAGTGATTATACATTGGTTTTTAAACAAATAAAGTAAATAATAATAATTATAATCTAAAATATCTGAATATATTAATGTCCATGACACCTCAATGAACTCATTAATGGCAACATTTAAGTGTTTCCTAAGTGGTAAAAGTTTCAGGTAATTGAATTGCTAACATATAGCCAATAAATTCATAACCAAGTATCAGTTTCGGAGGTTTTAAAAATCCCATACCTCGCACCGCCTAGGACCGGTCCTGGGGAGCAAGCCAAAACCCATCAACCCAACCAACGAAATATGGCCCAGAGCAGGTGCTCGAGCCCTGCGAGTGGCATTGAGAGGAGCTTGGCAAAGAGCGAATGCCGCGGGGAAAACTCAACCGCACAGGGGAAACGAGAGAGAGAGAGACACTTTCCACTCGCCACTCGGAAAACTCACTCGGCCAGGACTCGTGCGTGGGCGACGGACGACGAAGCTCGGGTTGAGCGTTCGGAAGAGTGCTTAAAAGTCGAAGGCAAAGCGCTCAACGTTTCAGTCGAGTTTGAAACTTACACTCAAGCGGAGTTGTAAATAGTGGTTCGAGTTGTTGGCTCGTACTCAAACGTACTGTAACACACCACTTATATATTTTTTGGCACCTTTGTAAACCAAAGCAGACTCTTGAAAAAATATTACAAAAACTATATTGTGGAAAAGTTTAAGTGGAATGCAAGTGGCTAAAGGATTTCCAACTGTCGCGTGTGCTACCACATGACACTGTGACTTCAAGCCCTTTAAGATTGTGCAAAAAACTGTCGAAGCAGCCGCAAGTCGCAAAATTCCTACGAAATTTGAGTTGTAAAGAAAAAATCTGTGTGTGCGGAAAATTTCTTCTTTACGGCTCCGCTCTGTTGCTGTTGCTCTTCATTACCTTTGCGTTATACTTACTCCCCATCCCAGCACTTATTTTTTCGGATTTCTTTTCGAGGCCTAGGCCTCGTTAGTCTTGCCTCCTCCGTGCTCCCATGATACACGTTGCGTATCCGCCGTGTGCGCCTGGTGGTTGTTCGTCTGAGTCTGTGACTGTGCCTGTGCTTGTGTGCGTGTGCTTTGAATAACAACACGCAGTTGTTGATTGTTCCCAACTTCTTTGAGCTCCCCTCGCACGGTTAGCCGCCTCGCTCCGGCCGCACCTCCCTGGCTTTTCAGGCTGCTGTTAAATTATGCATTAAGAACCCCAAACCCGCACAATGGAGAGGAGAAAAGAATGCAAAGAAATGGTTTAAAAATACTGGCAGCGAAAATGCTGGCACATTTTTGTTTGGGTGACCGCCCTCAGCCCGAACAGTAAATTATGCAAATTAATGTTTGTTTGTGATTTGGTCGCCTCTTGTTGGCGTTTTATTTTAGGCCAAGGTAGCCAAGGAAAATGTTTGGATTTAATGCTGAGAAAAGTTTTCTGGCTTTTCAGTTTTTCTCATATTTATACATAAGAGAAATTATTGCAAGGATAACTTTCCTTCTAGCCAAAACTCTCCTTTAATCGCCTTAAACGGATATCCCAGGATTTTAATTTATCTTAAAGTAAATTGTGTATAAGAGTAAATTCATATATTTTAGGAGAGAAAATGGGATTGAAGTCTTAATAGTATTAATAATACGAATGGTTTTAAAATACCACTAAAATGAAATCCCTGTTTAATAATAAATTCCTTCAAGAGAAGTCATCTGAAAGAATATTTCATTCTTCATTTATTCCTCAACTTGTTCTGACAACTAAAGAGTCGCTATCTTATATTTCAAACAAGTGCTCAGTGTTGGAGCCTCTGAAACCCATTGCTTAATTCTCCGATAAATCTTTCCCACCTGTTTTATTTTTCCAAATTTTACAAATGGCTTTTTACACTTAACCTCACGCTCTTTTCACCTTCAGTCCGCCCAATTCTCGCTCAAGCGTTTTACGCCGCATTATTTGGCCACATTTTGGCAGTAATTCACTTTACTTTTTCCCGCCTTTCGCTTTGCTGGATATTTTTCTTGGTCTCCTCTATTTGTCTGTGGGTCTCCTGTGGCCGATATTTACTATTTGGCCAACGTGTCTAAGGAGTCCAATGTTCCTGCCAGGAAGTCGTCCTGTGTTTCTGGGTGTTTTCCGGGCGGCTCCAATGCCGTGTGCCTTTTTAGGTGTTTATTAAATCGGTTTAGCTAAGGCAGAAGTTTCATTTTCAGGCTATTAGAGAATTTTATGTTCTTTATTTTCGTTTTTATTTCCCTCTCCGGTGGGATGAGGGTAGTTTATGTGATCTTGGGAATTGTTACGAGATTTAACAGCTTAATCCACTGATGGCAGACAAAAAAGTTGAACTTTTAGAATTAAAATTTTGTTTTAGGCTCTTTTAATATCTGAAAATTAAAGGCAATCCAAACTTTATAGTTTGGCTTAGCGGAAACTTTTCAACACGAAACTTACCTCTCAGCTTAGCCATGCTTATTCGAATAAATAATATTTTGTTCTTTATTCAATTTTCAAGGCCGGAGAGATCCCGAGAGCCAGGGGAAAAGTCTAATTAAAAAGCCTGGCTACCCCATCCTGCCTTTAACTTTTTCCTTTTCAAAGTGAAGGGGCCAAGGTTTTGAGGGCAAAAGTGTATTTTGTCGTGTGTCCATTTTTGATTGCCCCGAAAAGTATACCAGAAAGTTGAAACACTTTCCCACTCTTCCTCAACTTCTGCTTGCCCAGAGAAAAGAGCAAAAACGGAAGGGTTAACTTGGCCATAATTAAAGGTTCGTCTATGTCTGGCCTTCTTTTTGCCCCTTGGCCGACGCTTTCATTCTTTTTTACTGCCGCTTTTCGGTTACACGCTTCGTATGTGTTCTGTGAGCTCGAGAGAGTCATTAAGGGTCGCTCGAGTGTGTGAGTGCTGGAAATCCATCTAAAAATTATACGAAAAAGGGTTGTTCAACTTTTCTACTCCCTGGTGGGGACGAACGACTGTCGCCGTTATATGCCCGAAAATAAAACAACCAACGGAAAATGAGCAAGGAAAAGTTAAAGTTCGTTAAGCTGATTAGGTGACTGGGTGACTCGAGTCGCTGCGGTATGTAAATTGCCTCCTGGAGACGACTCGGGATAAGCCAAAGGACACTCGGTGCCAAACTCTTGAGGTCTCAATTCAGAGTTTCTGCTGCAGATGAAAGTCAAGTCATAAAGTGTGGCAGTTAATTTATATGAAAGCCACGCTTGGCAACACTTTAATATATAAAATATGTTGTTTTTAAGTAAAAAATTTATTTTAAAGCTTCTAGTAAATAACTTTTTCTCCTTCTGTCTTTTCGTTGCAGTGTAGAAAGATGTAAAAAGTCGACTAAAAACATATATCTATATATACACATATAAATATTTGTTTGCCTGCAAAATTATTTTCAACTTTAGTTTCAACAAAACGAAAAACAAAACAAACGAAAACGAAAAAAAAAAGAAACACCGAGAAACAACCAAACGGGTTAAAGCTTACATGTAGTCCGTAGAACCACGTAGTAAATGTAAACGAAACGAAACGAAACGAATCGAAACTTTACAGCAACGTTAAGGATAGGGCATCCCGGAAAAGGTCGCAGCTAATTTCTGGTGCGTATAACTCCATTAGAGGACGATTAGCGTATCGAAGGACGGACGGACGGAGGGAGCGCGGGCCCAACACCCACCACCCACCCGTTGCAGTGGCTGAAGGGGCCGACCGATAATTCAATCAGAGGGCCTTCGAGTGGCACCAGGAAAAGTTGCCGGAAAACTGCGTCTGCAACAAAAAAAAAAGAAACGAAAGGAAAACCCCATCAAAACACTTGGATAAAGTGGAAAACGTGTGCGGGTGCGTGCGCGTGTGAAAAACTTTTCGAGTCCAAGGCGAGTGTTTCAATTCGACGCTCCGGCAGTCCATGGCCATGGACCATCATCACCACCGTCATCTCAACATGTGGCCCACCTACGCTGTGTGCCTGCTGCTCCTGCAGGCCACCACCGGCACAATGGCCATCGATTTAAGCCGTCTCTACGGGCACATGGCCAATCCCATCGTGAAGCGGAGCGGTAAGTAATCGAACGAATCGCAACTCCATCTATTTCATTTCGGTAGCTCATTAGGGCGCACCGGGCGTATACGCAATTTGGGATGGGGTGAGATCTCATCCTTTTTTTTCACTGATTGACCTTCATTCTCTCTTTTTTACTCTCCTGCCTGTTTTAGTTGATTTATTGCCCCACGTAACCACCTATAATTCGAATGAAAAGAATTTTGCACTTCTTCATTTCGGGGCATTGCAGTTTTATTTTATTTTAATTTTATTTCCCTTGATTTTTTGTTCGTTGGCAGGTGAGCTGCATAATAAATGTGTACGTGCTTTTAATTTATGTTTGTTTCATTTTTTTCATTTTGTTCCTTGTGTAGTTTTGGTGCTGGCGAAAAACTTTTCCAGTTGCGTGTTTCCCCAGAGCGATGGGAATCTTTTGGTTTTTCCGTTTAAAGTTTATGTTAATAGAACTTAAAGGTAGTTGGAATTTTTTAATTGCCTTGGCAGGCAACGGGTTTTTCCAGCTTTTAGCTCGTGATGGTATTTTGCAGGGTTTTTTTTTTAAATTCAAACTATATTATTTAATTAACACCCGCGGACCTCAGTTGATTTGCGGCATTTGAAACATGTCGGTCACGGTTCGCGGTATTTGCTGAATTGGTTTTTAATTTAATTAGCTGATTGACGTATGTTCTCCTTGCCCAAAGAAGTAATTAACTCGAGCTTGAACAATAAATTGGCAAACTAGTGTTGGCCAACTTAATTTGCGGCATTATGGCAGTGGACCACGAACGGACTTCAATTAGTCATTGCCATTAACTGCCGCATGGCCGTCTCATGAATATGCATAGCATAATTAATCTATTATACTAATTTTCGTGAACACACCATTAAACGCTTAATGTCCTTGTTCAACCAATATAAATCGGTGAAAATAACAGAGGTCTGCTGAAAACAGTCACTGGGTTTCGATGCAGTCGACATATTGACAGTTACCTGAATTCACCTGAATTCCCACTCAATTCCTTTCTAGCCCCAGCTTGTCATTTGCAGTAATTGCACTTTGGAAAAACTCCAGAAACCCCATTTTATGCCGCATGACGAATCACAAAGCTGTCTGCGTCAAAGTGGCCAACACAGGGACCTTTAACAAAAGCTGTAGATATAGGAGGAAAAGTTGATTATTAATAGGCGACATTCAGCTTCGTAAGTGTACTTTCTTGTTAATTGTTTCGTTGCTGATGATCGCTCTTTAAGATTAATATACTTTACCTAAATAGGTCGGAGTAAGTCATCCGATAAACCAATGAATACTATTCTTAACTTTAGCAAACAATTTATTCCGTATCTATAATTAAAAATCTAAACTCAAATCTAAAACCGCTGCGTTAGCTCCTGATAATTATTTACAACTCCACCCTGTACTATTATTGCAAGTAACTGACTCCCTGCAACCCTGGCTCGGGAAATGCAACACTAGAAACTTTTACCCTGGATAAACCTTCACCAATTTGTCCCAATTTCCCCCCTCATAAAGTCCCGCCGTGAGAGAGAGAGCTAGGAACTTTGGTAGTGGGCAGTGTAATAATTTCAGTTTTCCTGTCACTGACAACATATTTTATGCTGCAATTTTCCGCAGAATAAGAAAGCCCGATGCATTTTCTCGCCGCTTCTGGCTGCTTTGGCTCCTGGGTCCGGTTGGGCCCTGGTTTCGGTTCGCTTCGGTGTGCCGGTGGCACTGAGTTTATTTATTGTGGCTCCCTTTTGTGTCCCGTGGCATCGTGGCTTTCTGACGGACGATAACGAGCGTGGGCTGCCGTCAGGTCGTGGCATTGTGTTGCCAGTAATTTTTTTTGGTCAGCTTCCCGATTCAGTGGCTGTTAATAAATGTGCCACCAGAGTCAGAAGCACTCCGAGAAGCGGCCACCAATGACAGCTTGAAAGGGTTCTGCGTCACTTTCCTTTCCTGTTCGTCATGAAAGGATTCGTTTCTCGTTTCTCGATTGTTGCTTTGTTCTTAGTTGATTGGCAGTTTTAAGATTGGTTTTCCTTTCCTTTTAAAGGTGTTTTTGTGCCTAATAGCCTCATTAATAATTTAGTTATTTCTTAAAATTGAATACAAAGTACGAAAAATGAAATAGGAACCATTTTCTATAAATTGTAAATGATTTATCCAGAAGAAATACATATTTAATACCCTTTGCTTGCCGAGTTTTCCATCATCATTCCTTTGCCTATTTATCTAGCATGTGTTTGGCTCGTGAATTTCCATTTCCTCCTGCTTAAATATTAATTTAGTAGCGTCGCCCAGAGTATCATAAATATTAAGCGAATAATTCAATTAGTTTTACGAGGCGAACTCAAGTCCTGCCGTACAGCATACCATAAATTATGTAATATTTGATTTGTTCCTTAGCCTAATGTGTTCGAAGGCAGTCCAAAAACGAAAACAAAAACAGAAAAAATCCTGGCAGGTGGTGGTGGTTGCGTTTTTTCGCGCTGGCTTTCTCGGGTCCCAGCTGCCCCGATGTGCGGTGACTTGAGCGGCAACAAATGGCAAACAAAGCGAGGCATTCTAGAAGCCAGTCGCTGGAGCGTGCCCCACATGCAAATAGCAAATAGCTCGAAAAAAAAGAAAAGAATCCATCTGCAAACGCTGCAACCAGCGTGCAAGTGGAGCTCTGAGCCAGCCGAGGACATATTGGCTTACAAAACATTCCGTGGACTTGGCCATTTGCACTTACGTGATCGCTCCGACTGCAGCTGGCACAAAATGAAATTTCCATAAAAGGAAAGCCGCAAACGGCAAGGGAATGGGCACGGGGAGGGTCCAAAATCAACAGAGCGCTCAGGCAAAAGCTGAAACGTGATTACGCCTCGCATAATGGCCAACAGAAAAGCGTTTTGGCATTCAAACGCAGCAACTAGCAACTCGCCCTCCGTAAGCATTTGGGCCAACCCTGGACAGTCGTGTGTACTTGAACCTGAAACCCTCTGAATAATTTTATTAGCAACTTTCGGCCTCGACTTCTTCTCCGCCATGTTTCCTAATTAATTTCCTTCGCCGAGTATTTCCCGTGGTCTCTAATGGCCTCGAGGCAAGCTGAGAAGTAAGAAATTTGAGCTGGTGTTAAACTTTTAATGGGATCTTAGCCGGGGATTTGTGATTGCAACTAAAGGGAGTCGTAATAAAGCGCTAATTAAGGGAGGAAAATAGGTGAGCAGTGGAGTATTAAAATATTTTAAGCTAATTTTTATGGGACTCGAAAACGGGAAATAGGATGTTTTTAATAGAAAAGGTTTTAGTAATTTAGTGAAGTTGAAATAAAAAGACAAATTGCAGGTGTCAGTAAAAGAAACGAGTTGCCAAATCTGATTCAAATCCAATTAATTTTATACAAAAGATGAAATGCTGAGGAGAATTGCAGTGTTTCCACCTTCAGACAAAGTGTCCAAGCCGCCCCTTGTCGCAGTTGAATAAAGGAAATATTTATTGTTATTGCCATTTGCTAGTTTGCAGCTCCCTGGCATAAATAATAGCTATATAAATTTTCAAAGAAAGTAGAACAAAATGGAAACAAACATCGGTTTGGACAGGGCAATTTTCAGAGCCATTTACAAAGGCCATAAAAACGTGTGCCGAAAGGTATGGAATCGGGCGATGCATCGGATGCAGTGCGTACGATAAATTTAATTACGTCGACAGTTTAATTATGCTTGATTGCCAAGATTTATGGTATATCAGGCCGCGTTCCTATAGCCCAACCAGCCCCGCCAGTGATATGCAAATCTATGAATATTTAGTAAATGTGTGTATGCAAATTGAGCGACTCCCGGCTCTACACATATATGTGGGCTGCGTTGTCCATGGACACCGATCAATCCGCACTTCGTCCCCATTAAATCGGTAAACTGTCAACTGGCTCAGCGGCCATAAGCCAACAAATGGCCATCATCGGGTGGTGTGTGTGGCCGCGAAATGGGCTGTGGGAAGGTCATTAAAAAGTCTGTTGTGGCGACGGCAGAATCCATTTCCATTTAAATATGAAAATCATGCGGCATCGAGTCCGGCCGGGAAAGTTTCAGCTGGCTTCAGTTTTCTGTTTGTCCTTCGCTTCAATCGATTGCAATTGATTTTCGCCCGTTAAGCGGCAAGTTTAACACTCCTGCCCCAGATTATCAATTTGAGTGTAAAAACGTTGATGGTTTCTGTCCCGCCTTAAAGTCGTCCTTATGCTCCAGACGGAGACGCGTCAAGTCATAACTAAATGTATTTTTCTTTTGAGTTCCTCTCTTCGTTTTTTATTGGGCCGTATTATTTTACGATGCTCGACGGGCTGGGGGGGGGCAACTTTCTGTTCTCGCCTTCCTTCCCCATAGAATTATTGGATTTATATCTTGTCAATTTTTACGGCCCTGTCTGCCGGCTGAGGAAAGTGTTTTCCTTTCGTCGCTGGCCGCCGCCATTCATTGTTGCCTCATTTATTATTTATTTTCTGCGCACTAAAAGTTGGCCAGGCCAAGGCAAGAACGCAGGCCACTCGTGTAATATGCAAAAAAAAAAAAAAGAAAGGGAAAAAGGCAACTAAGAAATAAGTATAGTAAAAAACAGTTGGTCAAAGGAGGCTTTTACCGCGTTACTCATACGTCATGGTGGTTACAAAAATAGAACATTGAGCAAGGCGAAAACACCAGGTTTTCATTAACAAAAGTGTCGTCGGTGGGGAGGCAATATTGTCCTATTGATTTTCCAGCAATGAAACAAGTGAAATGAGCGAAGACTTGAACTTGAAAAAAATACAATTTTAAATCAGGAAATCTATTTTTAACCTTACTGTTTGCTGTCTGTTTCCTTAGAAGAGAAATGTTGAATTTTATTGGAAAATGTACAGGCAGCTGAGGACTGGCAGCTACTTAGCATACTTACACATTTATGGCCACAATGCCAGGCCAAGATATCATTTCGAATGGCAAATGCACAATGCTAGTATATACAAAATCCAATTTCCAGAGGCAGCAGCACGTTTGCATTCATACAAATGGAAATCTGTGGACCGCATAGACCAAGATTTGAGGAGGATAACCGCAAATGCAGACTGAAGGGCTTTTCCTGGCGAAAATCCACTTGTGACTTGCGCATTTCTTCGGCTTTAGCCAAGAACTCTTTGGCCATTCCACCATCTTAGTTTTGCATTTCCAATGCAAGTGTGTATGCGAATCTCCCAACTGGGGGGGACACGTGCAAATGCAGGGTCAGGTTTTCAATTTCAATATTTAGTATTTGTGCACTTTTCCCGGCGCACAAATTTCCCCCAAATTGATTCCCTTGCGGGGAAGGAGAAGGTGCGCACAGGTGGGCGAGTTTTCCAGGCACTTACCAATTTCCAGTCATGTGCAAAGTATGCATAACATTTACCTTTTACCTGAACGCTTCGTCGTGGCATGTTTGAGAAATTAACTGGGCGCCCCGTTACGACGCAGACTAATGCAGAACAAAATTTCATTTTTCCTTAATTAAGTTTCTTTTAGGGGAGGAACGGAAACTTCTGTCTGACACTTGACACTCTGGCCTTATGGAGGAATTTGTAATTAGTTTGAAAGCCTCTTACATTGCGCTGCAATCCGCATTCATTCCCCTGTTTAGACTTACGACTATTGCCGAGAATTCGTTTCAAGACTTACCACCTGAATTTCATTAGCCAAAAAATCCATTAAACTTCATGACCTGCCGAAATAGGCCTTTAAGTCTTGGTAATGGAAATGTGACGCCTTCCTGACTGAATTGATCTTTCGTTTGTTTCGGAGCCGTTGAATAATTCAATAACTGATACAATTTTCGATTGGCTATAGGGCGAAAATATAATTATCTCAACATGGAAATCATCAATTATTTATGACCCATCTCCGGACCACAAAGCATATTTAAATTTATTTGCAATTTGTTGCGGTCGACAGGTGTAAATTTTCATTGGATGTGTTCGTTGTTATTTCTGCGGTCCGTCGATGATGCTAACCCACTTGATTACACAAACAACCTAGAGAATACGGTTCAAATTCGGTTTCAAATCAAAATGGAAAATGCTAAATGGGAAATGGAGAGTGGAGTGTGGAGTGTGGCGAATGAAAAATGGAAAACTTTTCACCCAGCCAGCCACATGCGCCGACATTGTTGGCCAAAACGCGCCAGTGAAAATTGAGTGAAATACACATAAGCCGAAGGGGGAAAGTTTTCATGCATTCGCAATGCCAGTGGCAAACTTTTGTAGGGAAGTTCAAGGCAGCCGTCGCACCGATGGTCAACATTTCGGCACTTTTTCCCTTTTCGTTTCTCCAGGTGAGAGAAGCTCACCTCGGGACATCCTCTTCTTGCCCTGTTGAAGGCTGTCGTTGGGGGTCTGTGGGGCGTAAGTGCGGTGATGAAGTGCGCCCGAGTTATCGTCTGCCGGAGCTGCAGCATAAGCCAGATTAAATGTATTTTCCATTACTGTTGCATGCCACTTTCGGCCAAGTAGACACAGAGCCCGAGACAGTTTCCACAGCTCTTTACCACCGGCGAAGAGCGTGTGAGTGGGCGAAATGGGAAATGACGGCCACGTTTACCAGAGCTCAGCAAAGTGTGTCACCTAAGAGCAAACACATTTTGCCATCAGAAAGAACCTAGCTCGGTTGGCAACACGAACACGTCTTTTTATTTACAACCAATTAGTTCGATTCATCAAAAAAGATTGCGTACAAAAGTCGTGGATTTTTAACAATCAAACTTTGGTTTCGTAGTTTATTCAAGTAAATAAATGGGAAAAAGCCTGGAAATCAGTTTTTCTAATATAGATAAAGGGTCAAATATGGCTAAATCGATTGGGCTGCTGATGCTGATTAAGCTTTGGCATATATGGTAAAGAATATTCGTGCTTCTATCTGTTACATTTAGTCTCGGTCGAGACTTTTTTAAAGTTACCTTATAAAACAGAGACAATATAACGAATAAGATGCCTAACGCCATACGGTTATTTTTAGTCCAGTGTAAAATTTGTATATATTTTAAGGCCAGCACAATACCTTTCGTTACCATCCCAGCAGACAAAAATGTTCGGTAATGATATTGAAAACGATTGTTTTGCGGGCTTCAAGCGGACAAAACGTCTGATCCAGGCTTTGTGGCAGAAAATGCTATAATTTTCGGAATCCGAATAAGATTTCGATTGCGAACCTCTTGCGACATATTTATTGGGTATAATCCTGAGAATTCGCGATACCCGCGAAATTAATCCGAAAAGTCTGATTCATTGTCCGTGTTTAGTATTTTTAGCGGAAATTTTTCGGATCCACCCGCAGCAAGTCCGCCTTTTGTCTGCTGGGATGTACATATATACCGAAATCCTTCCAGCTTAATAATCGGCAGATTTAAATTGAACAAATTTCCCCTCAAAATAAAAAGAAAAACTTACAGAAAACTACAAACATTTTCGCAGATATTCATATTTTGCATACCTTATCGAGCAATATAAAATGATTAATTTGGGCTGCAGCACCGTAAATTCGACCAGATTGCGAACAACCGATAGCGGAATCACTTACGAGCCGCGCTTAGGCCTCTACAGCTTCCTCAATAATGGATCCCTGCTTTGATGGCGAACCCTTCGCTGTGTCGACGGCCGTTTCAGGCTCCGGTGCGGTGGGCAACTCCTTGCCACCGAGGGCTAAAAGAGTCTCCGGCGGCATTTCCGGAACGTGCTCCTCCTCCTCGCCCTCGGCGTCGCCGAACTTCTCCTCTGGTTCCGGCGGCACCCAGCAAGTGCCCTTGACCAGACGGTCTTCGATCTCGGCGATCTCGTTCTTGTAGTACTGGTTGAAGTCGGGTCGCTCCCAGATGCTCTTGACCCACTGCAGGTTAAAGTCCATCTTGGCGCAGCAGCAGAACTTCCTAGACTTGTGGCACTTGGGGCACTTGGCAGGCTGGCGGGCCGGATGCGTGTACTGTTGCTTCTGCTTCTTCTTGCAGCAGTAGGGGCAGACGTGTCGGGTCTTCTTGGGAGAGGTGCACGGCACCGGCTCCTTGGCGTACACGAGGTGGCCCCGCTTCTTGGCACAGAAGCAGCAGTTGCAGTCGTCGCCCTCGGGCTGTCGCTTGCGGGTCTGCATTCGGTCGTAGAACTTCTTGTAGGCGATCTTTATTTTGGCCTCGTAGGCCAGCTGCTCTGCGCAGGAGAGGCCGTCGAAGCGGGCACAGCTCTCCGCCGACTTGCGGGCCGCATGGACCCAGACGCACTCATCGTTGTAGGAGGGCCTGCCCTGATCGTCGTAGGTGAGGTCCTGCTTGGGCTCGTAGTAAAAGGCCTTGAAGCCCCGCTTTATAATGGCATAGGCCAAGTGCGCCTCCACCTTATTCATCAGCGACTTCTTGCCCAGCTCGTGGAAGAGGTCCTCCTTCCGCAGCCGCTTCTTGGGCGTGGTGTCTATGCAGTAGCACACCTGGTCGTAGTGCAGGAAGGCGTAGGAGATGATGTCCACCGTCGACTTGGCCTTGCACTCGTGCAGGCCGCAGATGATCATCACCTGGGCCAGTGTGTTGGCCAGATCCAGGACGTTCTCCAGGAAGATCGAAGAGGCATTCACCTCGCCCAGGCACTTGCACTGCGTGTGCTGGTCGATTATGCCGAGGGGAGCATGCCGCTGGCACTCCTTGTGCTGGCAGTTGTTCCGGCACCGAAAGTCGGGCATCGCGTGGTGGGCCTGCATCGCGAATCGGTCTTTCTGCTACTACTGATTTGGACGCCTTTTATTTTTTTCTTTCCACATGGAATTTTTACAAATTTTTTTCGAAATAAATTTCCTGACAAGTTGATAAAACGAGGGAAGCCAAAGGAATGGTGGCTAAGGGGAAATGCTAAGCCTGACATACCAAACGTTTTTTTCCAAAGGTTGCTATAGAACTATTTTGATTGGTGAAAAATCAGAAAGTTTTATTACAGGAACAAAGTTTAAATTAGATTAAAAACAAAGCTTAAGTATTTCTCTAAAATTTCTAAATTATTTCCAAAGCCAAACAGCTCTTGGATGTATTTTAAACTAATATTTTAGTTGTAAATCATCCTCTTTTAGCATTTTTTAAAACAAAATAAAGCCACAAACCTTGTGCATAAATTGAGTAATACAAATTGTGTGTTTTACCCCCATTCCCTCTGGTGTTCTCCTTGATTTTCTTACAAATTTGGTTACTTTCTTGGCTTCGTGTTCGCTTCGACGGGGGCTAAGCAGTATTTGATACGGCGGCATGGATTGTTTGAGTTGTGTTTTCGTTTGTTTGCCCATTCCTCGTAGACACGTATAACTTTCGATAGGCCAAATATTTGCTTAGCCAACGGACCGCAGGGACAGTGGAAAATTTCAGGAGCTTCTTATTTTGTATGTCCTTTTTTCGGTCGAGATACATTCGTAATTGTTGATGACGGCATTGAGTCAGTTTATGATTCGCCTTGGGTGCGGGACTGGCAGTGGCATAAATAAAGTACGACATCCTACTCACTCAACTCGCTCCCGGGGGAGTTGTCAGCGCAAATACATCAAAGAATTTATTGGACAAGCTCCGCCATATCCGTTTCCTGTTGACAAATGCCACGGGAGCTGAGGAGAACTCATCTAATAACATTTTTCCGAGTAGCAAAAAATGCTGACAAATGTAAATCCCCATTTGTCCGTCTTGACCCCTTGTGTGTGTACACGGGCAGCTCTGTGTTTCTGAGAAATTGTTGCACTTTAACCTTTCGCCCATGAGTGTAAGTATGCTGCTGCTGGCCGAGAATCCCCCGCTTATGCCCGACTTTCATATATATAAAAGCCGCTTAATCTGTCTCTGGCAACGGGCTCTGGCACAAAAGGCAGAAAGTCGTAAAAACTTTGCTTAACTCATAATGAAATAGCAGCAGGGCGCGCGCCTGAAGATGAGCGATTTCAAGCCCGATAGGATTTTCCCTGCCCCCAGACTTATTCTTTTTCTTTCGCTTTAAGCTGAAGTGCAACTACGTAACTCGTAAACCCAGGGCAATCGCGCATAAATCTTGGCCAGACAAAATGGCCAACTGTTGGCCGGCGACTTTCCTCGGAAAGGAAAACGAAGAAATCGCACCGAACAATAAAAGTTGACAGGCTGGAACGGACTCGTGGCAATGTTCAGGTGGCTACCACGGAGAGTCTAAGGGATAAAGTTTCATTTTTGCCTACACAAAAATATTACTTTATCGATTTTGTATTTTCATCTGTTATTAAATATTCCTTAAAACTCTTGAACAAAGATAAAAAACAATATTCAAATTCCTTTTGGTATTATTGTATATTTCCGAATTTGTAGACCCTTGCAGGGTGTTATAATTTTAGTCAGAAGTTTTGTAACACAAAGAAGGAGCCGGTTCCGACCCTAAAAAGAATATATATTATTGATCAGCCGAGTCGATCTAGCCATGTCTTTCCGTTACTACGCAAACTAGTCCCTCAAGTTTGAATGAAACTTGGCAGATTATCTTCTGACTATTCTCACTACTATATACATTAGTCGGAAAGGACCAGATTGGCCTTATAATTATGTAATTAGGATCTAATTAAAAAGGGTATATAAACATCGGCGGGACGAAGCAAGCTTCCTCTTTTTTGTTACTTTTAGTAGATTTTATAAATTTTTTTCGTACTCATACATATTTCATTGAAGTTTTAATAGTCCTCAAAAGTAGGAATACTCCTAATTTTCTTAGACATTTTACTAGTTCCAATGCCAAATTAAAGTTTTCAAATATCGATATAGTATTTCCCGGTACATTATTAAATAAATAGAAAATTCATTCAAAAATTTTAACAAATATTTCTTTTGTTTATTGCTCATCTCTGTATTAAATTGCTGAGCTTTTCCTCCACTTTAGCCCCGTAAAACTTACCCAAATCTGTAAATAATTCCGGTCAGCAGTTGTTGATTTTTCGCAGCCTTAAAAGTATCAATCAACGGAATTTTGGGACCATCTAAATGTAAGCCCGGCTAACCCGCATTTATAACCCCAAACGCATAGACTTTGGCACGTACCTAAAATTAGTCCCGACTCCTCTCCATCTCTACCTCTCTCTCAAAATAACGTCCACGTCATTCGCATAAAACCCTTTAATGGTTATGCAGGCACCAATTACCATTAAAAACGGACAGCCTCGCCTGAAATGTATACATGTGCACATTCAATGGAAAAAAGGGGAAACGGACTGAGAGGGAAAAATAGCGAAAATCAATATATATGTATGCCGTGTGAACGGCTCGAAAAACGGGACTGTGATTGAAAAATCCTCGGAACGGTGAACGCGTTTTTAGCTAAGCGACTCGCTATGATTTTCTGCGTTTTTTGCTGGCGGTCGTTGGACGTGCCATGATTCATAATACTCTGCCAAAGGGGAGTTGTTCAACCCTCGGGCTTCATGAACTATATGAAAATCGGGTGTCTATATTTTATGTAGTAGTTTTTTTAGCTTTGTTTGGGGGAATTATGTGTATCAGTAAAATATATTCAAAATGTTGCAGCAATATTGATAGAAACTTTCTTTAAGTTTATGTAAGACTTTAAAGTAAAAAAGTTATAGAAAAAAACCGACTAAAGAGATGTACACATCCTCTTAGCTCGATATTCTATATAAAATAATAAGGGAACACTTTTTTTGAAATTTAATTTAAATACTTTACCCCATAAAGGGCATCTCCGCATCGGTGAAAGTGGGCCAATTTACTCGAGCACTGACTTTCTTGGGCTTCTTTGTGTGCGTGGCCAAATGGCAGGACATAAATCTGCAAATGTGATAAATGGTTATAAAGCCAGGCGTAATGTTTATTTAAAATAATGATGATGATGAGCAGCTGCAGCTGTTGGCAGCCACCCCAGAAATTGCCTTTTTTGCTCACGTATGTAAATTGGCGCGGACCCTTTGATGGCCAGAAGGAGTGTGTTTGGCATTGAGGCTGCATGGGTGGGTGGTGAATGGTGAGTGAGTGGCTCTTTTTAGCGCGACAGACAGCTGTTAAAGTTCAGCTCTCAATTATTCATAAAATTGCGCATACGTCTGCACTCATTACGCATACGCCTCGTACGCCGTAGGTCTTCTCCTGCTCGGCTTGTTTTGCGTGCCGTGGAATCGCTTTCATTTCGTTGGATCGTATTAATTTGATTTATATACACACACTCGCATGCGACATTTGTCCTTTTTATTCCGCTCTTTATATTTATTGCGCTTTATGGTTTTGCTTTAGCATAAATTGGCATAATTGAGCCGCAGACTGCTCCTCCCATCCGGAATGCTTTGATTTATGTCCCGTCTCGCCTGAAAACTTTGCGGCTAAGTCCTCATAATTTCAGGGGCAAGCGTTTCTAAGGATATTTGTGTTGATAATTTACGCACGAAATCGAAAAACTTTCTCTTGACTTTGCGGCGGCTTATTATTATTTTGTCTGTTGGCAGATTTGCATAAAACTGTGCACTGTCTGATGAAAATAAATGTGCTGCCGGCACTTTTGAATCTCACGTTAATTTGCATAGCCAACAGCCGAAATGTGTGGCATATAAGTCCCAAGTAATATATCCTCAAAGTTATTCCATAGCCAGCCAGGGGTTTGTTGAAGTTTTCAATTATTGAGGCAATTCAGGTTGTGGCCACAGCGATTCTCGGACCTTTTCCGCCAACTAATACCAAATCGATACATGTTCTGGCAACCTCAATAAGCCGCCTTGACAAATGGCCCCGACGGCTAATTGGGTGAGGTGAAGCCTCTGTCCTATCTCTGGACATTGATCGGAAAACAAATTATTTTGGCCCTGTCCCCCAGGGCCAATCAATGTGGTATCATTACAAAGCCATTAAGTTGGCCAATCAAAACGATGCAAAAAGGAACCCAGAAAAGACGGCCCACACACCCAAAATCAAAGCTAATTTAATCAGAGGACGAACTCGATAGTATCATATGCTGGTATGATTAAAAAAATTGCATCAGCAAGCATTTGATAATAGTCTAATGGAGTCGAACTAACTACTTTTATGCTGGTATAGGATATATGTGAAAAATTAATCTGGGAAATGGACAACAGATATTCCCTTTTGCCTAGGCAATGTCAACATAGCCGGCGTGGAAACTGTTGGCCTTTGATTGATGGATTTGCCCTTGGCCAAAATGAATTCATCATCCATGTTTGCGTGTATTCCCGGCACAAGCAAATTTATCATTCGAATCAATTGAAGAGCAGTTTGAACAGCTGAGAGCGATGAATTCGAAAGGGAATAATAATTGCATAATTGAAGCCCTATTTTAGGGATATTTTTGGGTTGCTTTAACGATAATTTAGGGTAATAAATTGCTAGATATTATCGATATTTTAAGTTGAATTAAGAGAGTTATTAAGCTAAGACTTCTCTTAGTTAATTTTTCAAATATTACATAAAATAACTTGTAATGTATATATATTAGATAAACGCCTAATCCACACATTTACTTGCCTGTCTTTAATCAATTTATGTCTGTTCATTAAAGACTCTCTGAATATCCTTGTAATATGAGCCTCATATGTTCGGGATACTTTAAAATATTGGCGAATACAGCCTGCTCAAAAATTGATTATGATATTTAAATAAAAACAAGCAAAATAAGTTTATACTTGAATACTGAAAGCAATTATTTGCATCATAAATAAAATATTTGTGACCTTAAATTTTCCACTAAAAGTGAGTAAAGACGTAAACTCACTGCTTGCTTTCGCTCCGGCCATTCGGCCTGTCGTTTACGTGGATTGCGCAGCTGGTGGTCCTGAAACTGGTGGCTAATTTGGGGAACGGGGCTCCGTTCGCATTAGGCCACCATCAAAGTCAGAGTTAACA